TATATATATATATATATATATATATATATATATATAGTTATTCACGTTGGCTTAAAAGAGCCCCCCCCCGCTTCCCACCCCCCCACACACACACACATTATTTGGAAAGGTCTGGGGGTTGGCGCTTTTGAAGCAGTTACTATTCCTTAATATTTTATACTTTAGCGTCACATAATTGATGTAAAAATCATTTAATTAATGCGTAAAGCCCTCTGTAGTCTATATTCTTAACTTCGACTTTGTATAAATCAGTAATGGAGCTCAGTGTGAGCTTTTATTTTTAGTTTTCTAATTCGGTTGGCGCCCCTTACAGTTCGCGCCCGGGGCGGTCGCCCCATCCGTCCTCCCCTAGTTACGCTTCTGTCTGTTCTTCTTCTTCTTCTGCGTTCATAATTTAGTTTATTGTGGAGGATTTTCTGTCTGTGAGTTAAGTGTTAAAAATACCGTGATGGTTAGTGTTAGTGTTTTCGTGAAATTAGGAAAAGAACTGAATTAATTGAAAAGAACATAGGCCCAGTGTATCAAAGATTAGCTGGTGGTTTGATGTGTTTTGTGGGTGTTGTGTTTTGTTACATAATATGGTGTTGTGTTGTGTTAAGTGATGTTGTGCGGCGTTATTTTGGCTTTTGTTATGTTATTCAGTAGAATACTTTTTTCCGTAAAATAAGTCATGCCTTATTTAATGAGTAAAAGTACAGGACTAAATGCTATTCATTGAATCCCCAAAATTTTGTATCTAGTCTATTTCTTTCGCGAAACCTTTGATTCAAAGAGTGGTAGGCTTATATCATTATATCACAAAGACGATTTACTTGAAAAATATAATCATCAACTGAAGGAGGAAGTGTATTGAATGGCCAAAAATCGGATTGTAAACATTGTTTTTAATGCGTAGATCCATCCGACCCATCCACCCCCCCCCCCCTCACACACACACACAAACACACACACACACATACACACACACACACGCTCGCACATACATACGCAAACATACAGCTGACCAAAAAGTCCACAAGTTCTCACCAGCCTAAAGTTGCGAAAATAAATCTCGCAATAAAAAGTCAAGTCCCGTCTCTTGACTGGTGCCTTGTGTAACATCAGGTTTTATTTTGTTTCACCTCTTTATTGCGTCCATCTGTTTAACTCACACTGAATAATAGGACATGCTTGAAAAGTTGGCTCCAAATGCTTGTTGCCAGAAAGCATATTTTTCAACCGAAATTGGATATTTTATAAGATTTTGTAATAGGTACAAAAATGATTTCCGATTTTATTAAGGCTAGAAATATTCAAAAAAATAATATCTGGTAATATAAAAGTAATTTAGCAAACGCTTATATTTTTAATTTGGATTAGTAGAGTCAGGGTGTTGTGGTGATTGGGAATGTTGTATTATTTAAAATAAATACAACACTACGCTATACACCATTGGCCACTGTTGGAAAAAAATTGTTCTAACTTTCATTGTTTTACTCTCCCTAACAATTCCGGTTGACTTCAAGGAAAGGTTGAGGGCGTTTTAAAAAAAAATATTTGAATTGATAAAATAATTCTAATCGGCTTATATTCACTACAAAAATATGAAAATGAGTGTAATTGATGGTTTCCAAAACAGCTTTAAGTTATTAAAACGAAACTATAATTATATCGCTTGCCATATTTAAAAAAATAATTTTAATTTAGTATAATTACATCGACTTTTCAAGCCTATTTTGTTCTATGTTTGTGGTATTGTATTTTCAACTCGTGTTGGTTGTGTCATTTTACATTATACGCATAAGTTGTAGTAGTATTATTACATTTTAGCGTTAGTTGGCAGTATAACATTTAAGCGTTAGTTGGTAGTATTATATTTCTAGCATTGGTAGTATTACATTTTAAGCGTTAATTACAAGAATTACATTGTTTGAGTTAGTTGGTTGTATTACATTTGTAGCGTTAGCTGAAAGTATTACATTTTAGCGTGGCAGACATTGCTGTAGTAGTATTGGTGTCACCCAATTTTAGTGAGTTCCGCAGTGCACTAATACTAAAACGACATTTACATAACTTTTCGCGCTTTCTAAAGCCTTTTAGACTTGTGTTTTTTAACCTTGAATGGATCCCAACGCCTTAAAAAATTTGAATGCGTCGTTAAAAAACAATTTCTTAAGTGCGTATTTCAAGACTTTCAAAATGGAAATATTTTTTTTTCTTTTCAATTTCAAAGTTCCGGCAATAGACACTGACTTTTGTTGACCTACAAGGTCAGGCACATTGGAAAAATGTATCAGGTACACCTACCCTTAGGCAGACCCCGACCCCTCTACCAATGACCCCGACCCCTCTACCAATGACCCCGACCCCTCTACCAATGACCCCGACCCCTCTACCAATGACCCCGACGCCATGGCCCAGATATCAATTGCGCACGTGTACACATAAAACATGGGGGTCGGGATCTTACAGAGACGACAAAAGCTAGCGGCCATTAACTAGATAAGGCTGACAGAGATAATGTCGTAACCATTTGGCAGAATACGATTGGCTGTTACCTCGCGAGATTTGGATGAGACTGGTCTTACCTCGCGAGATTTGGATGAGACTGGTCATACCTCGCGAGATTTGGATGAGACTGGCCATACCTCGCGAGATTTGGATGAGACTGGCCATACCTCGCGAGATTTGGATGAGACTGGACGTACCTCGCGAGATTTGGATGAAAGACTGGTCGTACCTCGCGAGATTTGGATGAGACTGGCCATACCTCGCGAGATTTGGATGAGACTGGCCATACCTCGCGAGATTTGGATGAAAGACTGGACGTACCTCGCGAGATTTGGATGAAAGACTGGACGTACCTCGCGAGATTTGGATGAAAGACTGGACGTACCTCGCGAGATTTGGATGAAAGACTGGACGTACCTCGCGAGATTTGGATGAAAGACTGGATGTACCTCGCGAGATTTGGATGAAAGACTGGACGTACCTCGCGAGATTTGGATGAAAGACTGGACGTACCTCGCGAGATTTGGATGAAAGACTGGACGTACCTCGCGAGATTTGGATGAAAGACTGGACGTACCTCGCGAGATTTGGATGAAAGACTGGATGTACCTCGCGAGATTTGGATGAGACTGGCCATACCTCGCGAGATTTGGATGAATAAAACGGTAGTGACAGTCCTACAATAGTTCCCTGACTCAATTTGGGCCGCAAATGGTACGATACAAAATACGCACACACACATATACATATGTGAGTGTATGGATGTACACTTATAACAGTTTTACCCTTAAGGAACGTTCTAATTAAAACCTGTGATTTAGCAAGGCCGCAGACCAAAGTCATATCATTAAATGACTTTTGAGTCAAATGATTGATTTCCTTCATTTTATTGAATGATTTGAGTTATATGATCGAATGATTTAAGTCATATCTATGAATGACTTTTGAGTCATATGTTTGACTGACTTTTGAGTCATATCATCGAATGATTTAAATCATATCATTGAATGATTTATGTCATATCTATGAACGAATTTTGAGTCATATGTTTGACTTTAAGTCATATCATAGATTGACATTTGAGTCATATCTTTGACTGACTTCTGAGTCATATCATTGAATGATTTAAGTCATGGTTAACGACGGTTCCGCTTGAATTCATTTCGGGAGTTTTATTTTTTTTTTCGCTCTGGTGTGTTCCCGTCAAGTAGAACACCAGATACGGGGGAGGGGGGAGGTGGGGTAGAGAGGGACAGTGTGGGGAGGGGATAAAAGGATAAAGGGATAGGGGACACTGACGTCATATCGGCCATTTTGTCTATTTAGGCGTCACGCGTCATGGATCAGCGAACTCAGTATAAACTTGATCACTCTGTTAAAAACTCAGAGCCATTGATAAAAAAAAATTTGATACAGATTAAATCATTTAATATATCAGAAGTAAAATGTAGCGTTTCTTTGCGCCCCCCCCCCCCCTCCAGCTGAACTATTGCAGCATGCCATATTAAGCTACAAACACCCCCTCATCCCAGCCTACCCCTCCACCCCTACCCCCACCCCCACTGTGCCAGCATATCAAGACACAACCCCCCCCCCCCCTCCCTCCTATCCTACTCCAAACATCATATACCACTCGACTGTATTTAAAAACCTTTGTAGAAAACATGTAAACTATTTTATTTCCTGATATTAAAAAGTTACAATAGGTCTATCTAAGGACGGGCCATGGGGGATGGGGGGAGGGGTTGTTACCTTGATGTTACCTTGACGGTGTAAAGGACAAACTGTTTGTCGAGCTTACTTTATTGTTCACAGTGGGTTGTGGAATATTTTAGTCGAACTGTCTCGTGTGTCTTATCTTTGTGTCTTTGTCTTGTGTGTCTTATCTTTGCGTCTTTGTCTTGTGTGTCTTATCTTTGCGTCTTTGTCTTATGTGTCTTATATTTGTGTCTTTGTTTTATGTGTCTTATATTTTTGTCTTTGTCTTATGTGTCTTATATTTGCGTCTCTGTCTTGTGTGTCTTATCTTTGTGTCTTTGTCTTGTGTGTCTTATATTTGTGTTTTTGTCTTATGTGTCTTATATTTGCGTCTTTGTCTTGTGTGCCTTATATTTGCGTCTTTGTCTTGTGTGTCTTATCTGTGTGTCTCTGTCTCATCTCTTCCTGTCTCAGACTGTCTCGTTTGATGGTTTACCGTTGAATGGAGTAGAGTTTCTCAAAAATTACGAACAGACAAATTAGTCGAAATTAAGTGATCAACTTCCAAATGCGACTGGTTAAATGACATGTCAAATCACAGGTGTCGATTGGTGTAGTGGTGACCTGATTCTAGTGACCCCCCCCCCCTGGTTTGGACCTCCCTCTAGTGGGGCCCCCTGAGGTAATCTCCCTCTAGTGGGGCCCCCTGGTGTACACCTGCCTCTAGTGGGGCCCCCTGGTGTACACCTGCCTCTAGTGGGGCCCCCTGAGGTAACCTGCCTCTAGTGGGGCCCCCTGGTGTACACCTGCCTCTAGTGGGGCCCCTGGTGTACACCTGCCTCTAGTGGGGCCCCCTGGTGTACACCTGCCTCTAGTGGGGCCCCCTGGTGTACACCTGCCTCTAGTGGGGCCCCCTGGTGTACACCTGCCTCTAGTGGGCTCCCCTGGTGTACACCTGCCTCTAGTGGGGCCCCCTGGTGTACACCTGCCTCTAGTGGGGCCCCCTGAGGTAACCTGCCTCTAGTGGGGCCCCCATCTGTTGTTTCCCCTCCCCGCCTTAGTGTCTGACGTAGTATCAGCCCAGATACCCAGGATGCAACATTGTGCAAGCGACCGTGACGTGTAGATGAAGACATTTCCTCAGGTCTCAAGGTCTGCATGAATGAGGTCAGCTGTCAAGAGAGTTGGGGTGGGGGTGCGGGTAGGGATGGGGGTGGGGGTTTGATGTTGGGAAGCTTTGAGGGGTAAAGATGAAAGTACACCACACACCCAGCTGTTTGACGTGCCGGCTGCTGTATCAGCTGAATCTGCTGTATCTGCTGTATCTGCTGTATCTGCTGAATCTGCTGTATCTGCTGTATCTGCTGTATCTGCTGTATCTGCTGTATCTGCTCTATCTGCTGTATCTGCTGGCTGGCAGATTTTAATAGGACAAATAACAGCAGGAGCTTCACAATCAGCTGATACAGCGAATGCTAATTTATAGACATACATACACATCCCGTTTATATATATATATATATATATATATATATATATATATATATATATATATATATATATATATATATATATATATATATATATATATGTGTGTGTGTGTGTGTGTATGTATATAAGCACCACATCTGTGTGTGAGCGTGTGTGTGTGTGAGTGTGTGTGTGCGTGTTTCACAAGTTTTCCCAGGATCTGATTTAATTGGCCAGTGGTTGATTAATGAACTAATTAACACATACCTGCGGCCTAATTAATCACAACGATAGCTTCACCACCCTCCCCGTTTTGTTACTAAAATGGGAATCAATACCTCACATTGCAATATTCTGTAGCACTGTGTGCCAGAAAAGTTGGGGGGGGGGGAGGGATTCAACCACCAACACCCCATTAACTCCAGATTTCGTTCAGTTGACAAAAATGTTAACCCACTTTCAGTTAGAGTTTTGAGACGCTCTCCACAACATTAATGTGACGCGCCTTTCCCTCTTTTACCGCAGAAAACGTGACACGAAACATAAAACACGTGATCGCCGTTTAATAAAAACCTTAATTTCCGCATGTGGGAAATTTTTTGTCTCCGTTTCTTGTCATAGCGACAAGTGGCTGCCAAAAATGTAGCACCTCGACTTGATAGAAAACTGGTTTCTGGCTTTTGAGAAACACGTGTCGTCTGGTAATTCCCGCCAATACACTAGTCGGGGGCGGTACCAGAAGGTCTCAAGATGATTTTTTAAATAGTTCGGCGTAGGTGAAAGTTTAGAGCAGGGGTTTCCAGGCTGGGGGTGTGTCATCTGGTGAGGTGTGTCTACTGGTGAGGTGTGTCTGAATTGTGTCTACTGGTGAGGTGTGTCGGAGGTGTGTCTACTGGTGAAGTGTGTCTGAATTGTGTCTACTGGTGAGGTGTGTCTGAGGTGTGTCTACTGGTGAGGTGTGTCTGAGGTGTGTCTACTGGTGAGGTGTGTCTGAGGTGTGTCTACTGGTGAGGTGTGTCGGAGGTGTGTCTCTGGTGAGGTGTGTCTGAGGTGTGTCTACTGGTGAGGTGTGTCTGAGGTGTGTCTACTGGTGAGGTGTGTCTGAGGTGTGTCTACTGGTGAGGTGTGTCTGAGGTGTGTCTACTGGTGAGGTGTGTCTACTGATGAGGTGTGTCTGAGGTGTGTCTACTAGTGAGGTGTGTCTGAGGTGTGTCTACTGGTGAGGTGTGTCTGAGGTGTGTCTACTGGTGAGGTGTGTCTGAGGTGTGTCTACTAGTGAGGTGTGTCTGAGGTGTGTCTACTGGTGAGGTGTGTCTGAGGTGTGTCTACTGGTGAGGTGTGTCTGAGGTGTGTCTACTGATGAGGTGCGAGGTTGTGGTGGTGGAGGTCTTCCAGACTTTTTTTTTGGGGGGGGGGGGCGGTCAACATTTTTTTTCCGGAGGGGGGGGGGGGGGGGTGGACACTAGTAAAAGTATATATTTTCTATATAAATTCCATTTCGTTCGGTCGGGGGGGGGGGGGGGGCGGTAGACTATCTTCGGGGGGGGGGGGGGGGGGTAGCACCCCCGAACAGATGCCTGGATGAAACTCTGGTGGAGGGGCGGACTTTAAGAATCTCTACTCTAGATTTTTCATACAAAGCACGACAGTCTCTTAGACCTGCTGTCTGACCTTGGCTCTGACAAACTGTTCTAAATTTGAGACACCCTATGACTCAAGCATGTTTTTGTGACGCTACGTTTCACATCCTTGATTTAGATCAGAACACCCCCCTCTCTACACCCCCTCCCTCACCCCCCACCCCCATCCCCACCCCCTTCTGTGGGAACATTTTGTAAATAAGTCTCCAGCTGAGGTGTCACACAGCCCACCACATGCACAATCAACCAGCCACGGTGACCCTTGAAGTCATGTGACCCTTGACGTCACGTGACTTCTTCACGTTTCTCCCAGGGCCAGATATTCCTGGCAACCGTGCGCTGATACATTTTTTTGGTTGGGACAAAAATTATTTTCTTGTCGTTTTTTTTTGACAAGTTTGTCCTTGACATTCTGGGTGTGAGAGGTGTCATTTTTTGAAAGATGGGATTAACACCTTTTCTGGTGAAATAGGTGTCGTATTGGGAGGTACAGTAGATGAGTTGAAGAGTAATCCAATAGGTAATGGTGTAGGAATGTTAGGGGACGTAACTAGACTATACAAGGGAAGCTACTAGACTTTACAGGGTACACAACTAGACTTTACAGGGGACACAACTAGACTTTACAGGGGACACAACTAGACTTTACAGGGGACACAACTAGACTTTACAGGGGACACAACTAGACTTTACAGGGGACAAAAATTTACAGGGGACACAACTAGACTTTACAGGGGACACAAATTTACAGGGGACACAACTAGACTTTACAGGGGACAAAAATTTACAGGGGACACAACTAGACTTTACAGGGAGCACAACTAGACTTTACAGGGGACACAACTAGACTTTACAGGGGACACAAACTAGACTTTACAGGGGACACAACTAGACTTTACAGGGGACAAAAATTTACAGGGGACACAACTAGACTTTACAGGGACAAAAATTTACAGGGGAACACAACTAGACTTTACAGGGGACAAAAATTTACAGGGGACACAACTAGACTTTACAGGGGACACAACTAGACTTTACAGGGGACACAACTAGACTTTACAGGGGACACAACTAGACTTTACAGGGGACACAACTAGACTTTACAGGAGACACAACTAGACTTTACAGGGGACACAACTAGACTTTACAGGGGACAAAAATTTACAGGGGACACAACTAGACTTTACAGGGGACAAAAATTTACAGGGGACACAACTAGACTTTACAGGGAGCACAACTAGACTTTACAGGGGACAAAAATTTACAGGGGACACAACTAGACTTTACAGGGAGCACAACTAGACTTTACAGGGGACACAACTAGACTTTACAGGGGACACAACTAGACTTTACAGGGGACACAACTAGACTTTACAGGGGACAAAAATTTACAGGGGACACAACTAGACTTTACAGGGGACACAACTAGACTTTACAGGGGACAAAAATTTACAGGGGACACAACTAGACTTTACAGGGGACACAACTAGACTTTACAGGGGACACAACTAGACTTTACAGGGGACACAACTAGACTTTACAGGGAGCACAACTAGACTTTACAGGGGACAAAAATTTACAGGGGACACAACTAGACTTTACAGGGAGCACAACTAGACTTTACAGGGGACACATCTAGACTTTACAGGAAACACAACTTTACAGAAGACACAACTAGACTTTACAGGGCCGTCACCATCTAATACACTACCAGAAAAACAGTTTCGTCTTCACAGCCAAGACCCTGGCAGAACTCCTATAAGCAACAGAAAATTACTTGGCATGCCGATTTGACACTTTTCATTAACTATTTTAACACGAATTTTAAATCTCTAAATCTTTTTTTACAGGTCGACTAACTCAGCCAATCTCTACAGAACCGGGACACAGAACTTCCTCGGCAGATCAGCTCGGTGTGGACCACCTACACTACACAGACCACATCGGTCCGCAGTTTACCCACTAGGCCGGCCCCCCACCCCAGTTTACCCACTAGCCGGCCCACACCCCAGTTTACCCACTAGCCGGCCCCCACCCCAGTTTACCCCACTAGCCGGCCCCCACCCCCACGTGCCAAGGTCAAGGCCAACCCCCAACGACCGCAGCCATGTCGATGCACCTGAAGAAGATCAAGTTCTCCTTCCTCCTCCTCCTCCTCCAGCTCATCTTCATCATCATCATGGGCATCTTCGGCGACTACGCCAAGAACGACTACTACCCCGAGCTCTACGGCAACGGGAGTGACGCCGTCTCAGAATCTACAGGGGTTCCATATCCAAGTAGGTTAATCCCACGTTAATCCCTCGTTAATCCATGTATTGTGTGGATAGACCGTGTCAAAAGGCGCTTGTGTGTATTCACCTAACACCGCGTGTGATGAAGTTTGATTCATCCCCGGGATGTCGAAACTTTTGTCCCCCCCCCCCCCCACCTACATCCACCCATAGTTTGAGCCCCCGCCCCATGCCCTTCTTCACAGTAAAAATTGTAACAACGCCCTCGTTACCGTGTTTAGACCCACAGTCCGAGAGAACGCCTGAAGCTACTTGAGAAACTCTAATTTAGACATAACCACAAAATACACACATCAATGTTAATCCACCTTTTATGAAGCTCTCATTTATGTCTCATTTAGACATAACCACAAAATACACACAGCAATGTTAATCCACCTTTTGTACAGCTGTACAACTTGTACAATGTACGGTTCACGTGTACAATATCATTTTTTGGACGTTATTTTTAAGCTGCAGAAATTTTTTTCCGAACCTGAATTAAACCTCAAGGTAACCGTTGCTACATAATTATTTGCTATCTAAAGCATTGACTTATACTAGAGCCAGTTTTGTGTGTGTAAGGGGGGGGGGGGTGTCAGTGTATATATATATATATATATATATATATATATATATATATATATATATATATATATATATATATATATATATATATATATATATATAGGCAGTAAGATTCGTAAATGTATTCTCTGTGACCAATAGCTTTAATTTGAGACAGTTGTCCGTAACTGGGGTGAGAGGGTGGGGGTTTCAAACACTTTGTATAAAAATAAAACGATCGAGCTTTGTTAACCCCGCCTTGCTGAAATGATTCCCACTGTGTTTCATGGCATGTTTTCAAAAGCCGAGGTATATTTAGAAGAGAGGGGAGGTAACTGGTTCTGGCTTGCTTTTGATGGACCTGAAAACACCAACAACAAATTTTGACGTCAGCACATTTTTTTTCTACACCTTCTGGAAGCGTCCTTCTGAACCTGGGTGTGTCTCTTTTAGATGACAAGTTTTATGTTGGCAGGGTCATCTTTGGGGGTGGGGGAGGGGGCGCACGGATTTTTTTTTCTTGCGTAAAATAAAAATTGTCGTACATTTTATTCTTTACTTATTTGGAAAAATAATTACTGAAATGATAGTATATATATATATATATATACATATATATATATATATATATATATATATATATATATATATATATATATATATATATATATATATATATATATATATATATATGCGTATACAATCAACCCTAAAAATAGTTTCACAATTTCTAACAAGTGAGAGACTCAGATCTGTATAAAAACGTTTTGCCCCACCCACCCCATCGCTCTGTAAGACAACACACAAACAAACACACACATGCACATACATAATTTAGGTCTAGCATAAGTTTAAGGTCATTGACCTCAGTTGAGAGCTACAATCTGCAACAATTTTTAATTAAAATTTTGATGTAAACATAAAATCAAGTTTTATAACTGTCTCTAGTCTAAACCACACTACCACAGTAGTTTTCTTCCGTCATCGAATAAATTAGAAGTCTTCTGATTCTGAAATATGATTATTTCCCCTGGTAGCATTACGCAGATGTAATGGGGGATAACTCTATAGAAATCCTACCGACAATACGGCACCTGTAACTTGAGTGGATCCTCTCCACAAGAGATTGGTGACAGACAGGTCCAAACGTTGACCTGCACTCTAGTATGGTCACGTGATGGTTTTAGGGTAACTTCCCGTGGAAAACATGTTATGTTGAGTTTAAATTTGGCCGGCATTTTTACTACATTACATTTTTTCTTAATTTAAAATTGAGTTGTTTGCCCGATACATTTTTTTCAATTTAAAAAAAAAACTGTTCATGAAAGAAATGTTGCAGGTCCTAAAAGTACGAGGTCTGTTTAATCATGCTAGACGCATGCGCAGTGTCATGTCTTCTTTAACACCTCAAAACACCTCTCTCATTGTGCACCGTCCTTCACCCTTAGACCAAAGAACCACCAGCTCTACACCCCCCCCCCCCCCCGACCCGTGGCTGCAACACTTTGAGGCCGTGTTAAGTACATTCAACCTACCCCAGGAGGATTGAAACATTTTTTTTACAAAAAAAATAAATTATTTGGCCTATTTCAAACATTATTTTCACTTTTTTTTCGTACTGGATTTTTTTTTCTCTGGGTACACGCTATGATTTGTTTTTCTCCCGTTAATGCCCGCCCGTGGGCTGTACCAGGTACTGTGGGCTGTACCAGGTACTGTGGGCTGTACCAGGTACTGTGGGCTGTACCAGGTACTGTGGGCTGTACCAGGTACTGTGGGCTGTACCAGGTACTGTTGTACCAGGTGGGCTGTACCAGGGCGCCGACCTTAAGGGGGCGAGAAAAAATTAGAAAGCTCATTTTAAGCTGAAGTATCGAATTATACACTGTCAAAGCTACGAAAAATAAACGACTACAAGGCTTCACACACTGATTTAACAACTTTGTGACACCGAAATAGAAATTCTTTCAGGAAAGTAACTGGTAAGAAGCGCCACAAACTTCTCTAACTGGGGGGGGGGGGGGGGGCGCTTTTTCACAGACAGGAATAACTATATATAGAAATGGGGGGGGGGGCGCAAAATTGATAGTCTGGATTAGGTCGCTACGCCTCTGTGTGTATGTCTAACCTATTATGGTTGTGTGTTGTTGTGTTCTCATGCAGATATTTTATGTTTTATTAAAATCTATATTCAAGAAACAGAAAAAAAAATTAATTAGAATGTTTCCCAACTTGAAATAAAATCATTGGAAAACGGTGATTTTATTGCAGTGAGCCAAAAAATCAATCAAAACACTTTAAGTGCATCCATTTATGCTGAAACATGTGTATGAACGAAATCATTCAAACTTCAACCTTTAGAATATTTTTTTTACTGATTAGCTTGACGTGCTTCAACTTTTAATGATTTCTACGTCAGGGCCTATAGAGCCATGAAAACGTTGATTTTTATTGAGTTCTGTGGTTTGTCATTAAAAATGTGCGCGTCATTTTAGAAATGTTTCCACAAAGGTCAAATGTCAACAAAATCAATGTATCCTCTCAACCCATGAATGTGATCAAAATTATTGAATACGAAAATATTTTTTGTAGCTTTGTGAAGAATTATATCTGAGTAAGGTAAACTGTCAGTTAAATTCATTACACTATATTACACACACGTATATAAGCATATATATATATATATATATATATATATATATATATATATATATATATATATATATATATATATATATATGGCTTGATATGCTTGATACATAAGCAACATCTGGCTCTCAACTTCCCAGATCTTGCGCTTTGAAATCCAATATACCAGTGGCGGAACTAGAAATCAAAGGCTCCCCCGCAAAGAAAAAACTAGGGCCCTCCTATATATATATATATATATATATATATATATTATATATATATATATATATATAAATATATATATATATATATATATATATATATATATATATATATATATATATATATATATATATATATATATAATCTATATCCTAAGTGAGTAATTTAGTCTACTTCATTGCAATATATAACCATTCTGAGTGAACAAAACAGAAAAATTTAGTCCACACTCAGTTAGAGTTAGAATAGTATCATAATCATGCTGGTCAAAAATATATAAAGACGTTAGCTTGACTCGTGAATGGTTTCTCGCGTTATGTTTATTTTTTTTCATTTTTGGCTTTTATAATATCAATTTTGAAAACATTGTTTTTTATAGCCATACTATTGTATAGTACGTCTTATTTAAGTAACAATTCATAGAATCAATTGCTTTTTAATATACATAGTACAAAGCTATTTAAATGAGCTTCGTGGGCATCCCTATTTTAAAGAAGGGCAGTAAGGCTTGGAAGTAGTGTGAATGTTTGCCTACCTTTCAAACTATAGCTCTTGTAGATTTTAAAATATTTTTCTACGCAACAATCTCTGCTACAGTAGACCTGTTTTTTTTTTTTTTTTTTTTTTTTTTTTACAAAACCACTTTCAAGATGCATGAAAAACATAATTTTTGAAAAAAAAATTCATTGTTTTTTGGTCGGAACTGGGCCCCTAAACGTCATGCCCCCCCCCCCCCCGCATTGCGGGGTCTGGCGGTATGGTAGTTCCGCCCCTGCAATATACATAATCATCTAATCGCATATCCTATTAGAGAACCATTTTTTAAAAATAAAGGGCCTATTTAAAGAACGACTTATATTCCTGTCTTTAGATGTCGTGTAGTCTATTCTCGAATCTCAAAAACCCATTTAAGTTTTTTTTGTTAAATTATTTTAATTACATTTTAACTGAGTTGAAAACTTGTAAGACTCGCCCCCCCCCCCCCCCCACACACACACACACAGATTTCTCTATTCTAATTCTGAAAACATCTTCATGTCCCAAAAATTGTGCTAATCTCTGCGAAGGTTATCTGCTCCTGTAGCGGCGATATCTTACGATCTGCGTTACAATATCTATCAAGCGTATATCTGACGAGGTAAGCTTTATGACGCGGTACCGTTTTTATGGTCGCCTACATGGGAAACGTTATCTCAACTGCTCATTCAAGAATACCCTAAACAGATCCCGTGTTTTGAACATGGCGCCGCGCGGGGCATTGTGGGAGAGATGATTCTAGCACCGGTCCGCTACTTGATGGCCGGGGAGATTGCGGTCATGGATGATAAACGTCACGCGTCACGGAACTTACGTAACTCGGTGGAGCGCTGAAAAGTGATTGTCTGATGAAAATGTCAAAAGTTATGGAAAATAAATTCTTTGAAAAGCCTGGTCTTGTACGGGGAGATGTGATAGATGTGGTCGAGTGATAGTTCTATTCAAGGGTGTACAGGCAGTTGAAGCGGGGAGATGAGATCAACATTAGAGCAAGTGATAGAACTCTCTGGAACCCTAGTGTCTGATAGTACTGAACCCTAGTGTGTGATAGTACTATCTGGAACCCTAGTGTCTGATAACACTGAACCCTAGTATGTGATCTCTCTAGAACCCTAGTGTCTGATAGCACTGAACCCTAGTGTCTGATAGCACTGAACCCTAGTGTCTGATAGCACTGAACCCTAGTGTCTGATAGCACTGAACCCTAGTGTCTGATAGCACTGAACCCTAGTGTCTGATAGCACTGAACCCTAGTGTCTGATAGCACTGAACCCTGGTGTCTGATAGCACTGAACCCTAGTGTCTGATAGCACTGAACCCTAGTGTCTGATAGCACTGAACCCTAGTGTCTGATAGCACTGAACCCTAGTGTCTGATAGCACTGAACCCTAGTGTGTGATAGTGCTGAACCCTAGTATGTGATGACGGTGTATCGCACTACGGGCGTTAGTTAACGATACTTGGTGTATGGGTAATGTGCATCAGGAAGTGGTGCACTAGTGGTGGCTGGTGTATCAGGGGATAGTGCACCGCGATCTAGATCCTGTAGGCACGGTGTATGTGTTTGGGTGAGGGTGGAGGAGGGGGGGGGCTAAATTATATGACCTTGATGTTTTTTACAGAGTCTGAAAAATAAGCCGAGCCTAATTGAAATTCTAAATCCGTTTTGTCAAACCCTGTACAAAACCCTGCACAAAACCCTGTACAAAACCCTTTACAAAAACCCTGTACAAATTCTGTAAAAATTTTATTACGCGCCGTTAGGGCGAGTCGAGCAGAACGTCAATAGCTGAAGACAAAACATCGATTTGTAGCGTCTCGTGTCTTTTGTTGTGGTAGGGGGGCAGGGCTCGGAGATTATTTTATGACGTTGCTGATAGATTGATAGCTTTAAACTGTGAGGTAGGTGTGTGTGTGTGGGGGGGGGGGGGGTAATGGTGTTATAATTGGGAGCGGTGCATACATTAAAATAAATAATACATGACACCATCGTACTGAAATGAGGTGGGTTTGGCGAGAGTGCTGAAATGTAACTAGAACAAATTGAGTGGTAGAGCGGTATGCTGTGATTAGATTTTTGTCGATCACATTCCAATGACATTTCTTGGCCTGACCATGACATTTCCTAGACTGACCATGACATATCTTAATCTGACCATGACATTTCCAAGACTCACCATAACATATCCTAATAAACTGACCATAACATTTCCTAGACTGACCAAGACATTTCTTAAACTGACCATGACATTTCCTAGACTGACCATGACATTTCCTAGACTGACCATGACATTTCCAAGACTGACCATGACATTTCCTAGACTGACCATGATATTTCCTAGACTGACCATGACATTTCCTAGACTGACCATGATATTGCCTAGACTGACCATGACATTTCCTAGACTGACCATGACATTTCCTAGACTGACCATGACATTTCCTAGACTGACCATGACATTTCCTAGACTGACCATGACATTTCCTTGACTGACCATGACATTGCCTAGACTGACCCTGACATTTCCTAGACTGACCATGACATTGCCTAGACTGACCCTGACATTTCCTAGACTGACCATGACATTTCCTAGACTGACCCTGACATTTCCTTGACTGACCATGACATTTACTAGACTGACCATGACATTTCCTAGACTGACCATGACATTTCTTCAACTGACCATGACATTTCTTCAACTGACCATGACATTTCTTCAACTGACCATGACATTTCTTCAACTGACCATGACATTTCTTCAACTGACCATGACATTTCTTCAACTGACCATGACATTTCTTCAACTGACCATGACATTTCTTCAACTGACCATCACATTTCTTCAACTGACCATGACATTTCTTCAACTGACCATGACATTTTCTAGACTGACCCTGACATTTCCTAGACTGACCATGACATTGCCTAGACTGACCCTGACGTTTCCTAGACTGACCATGACATTTCCTAGACTGACCCTGACATTTCCTTGACTGACCATGACATTTCCTAGACTGACCATGACATTTCCTAGACTGACCCTGACATTTCCTTGACTGACCATGACATTGCCTAGACTGACCCTGACATTTCCTAGACTGACCATGACATTTCTTCAACTGACCATGACATTTCTTCAACTGACCATGACATTTCTTCAACTGACCATGATATTTCTTCAACTGACCATGACATTTCTTCAACTGACCATGACATTTCTTCAACTGACCATGACATTTCTTCAACTGACCATGACATTTCTTCAACTGACCATGACATTTCTTCAACTGACCATGCAGTTTCTTGGACTATGATATAACCTCGGTCTTTGTTTGTCGTGTTTAACAACTACACAAGTCTATCCCAGGTCAGAAGCAGAGAATATTTGCCCATGTGAATGTTGTCTATGGAGTTTTATGTTAGTCAAGACTTACCCCCCCCCACCCCATCACTTCACTCTGTGTTTATTTAAACAAGTTTCTAAGAAATTGTCAGCTTCACGGTGCTGATTGACACGAACTTTAATCACCCAACAGGTCTTTAACAATGTACAAAAAACCTGGGTTTACTTCCTGTACCTGAACCTGGAACTTCCGGTCAACTGTTCACCTACCCCCAGCCACACTTCCGGTCAACTGTTGACCTACCCCCAGCCACACTTCCGGTCAACTGTTGACCTACCCCCAGCCACACTTCCGGTCAACTGTTGACCTACCCCCGGCCACACTTCCGGTCCACATTTGACTGACTTACCCCCGGCCACATCTTGACCTGTCTTGTGTGATCCACAGATTTCATGGACGTCAATGGCATGATCTTTGTGGGCTTTGGTTTCCTGATGACCTTCCTGAAGAACTACGGCTTCGGTGCCGTGGGTCTAAACCTGATGGTGAGTGCTGTCTGCGTGCAGTGGGCGGCCATCGTGCGAGGCTTCATACACTACGACATCCTGGGAGGGGAGAAGTTCCACATCTCCGTCATTGAGTGAGTACAATCTGTTGTTTAACGTGAGTACAATCTCGTATCTAACGTGAGTACAGTCTCTGGTCTAACGTGAGTACAATCTGTTGTTTAACGTGAGTACAATCTTGTGTCTAACGTGATTATAGTGCCAGACATACAGCACACATATATGCAGCATGCCCTGTCAGTCATACATCATACAATGCCAGTCATACATATCATCTAATTTCGTATCGAAGATGTCACCCCATCAGTCAAACAGCTTGTTCTAATAAATCCCCCTACCCCTCACCCCCACCCCCTGTAGCATGGTGACCTACGACTTTGCCACCGCGACGGTTCTCATCTCATTCGGTGCCGTCCTGGGTAAGGCCAGTCCCGTCCAGCTGCTCATCATGGGCATCTTTGAGATCCTGCTGGCCCAGATCAACGAGTACATTGGTATCGATCTCCTACATGTAAGTAACCGATACATTATGGTATCGATCCTACTAAATTTAAGTTATCCGATACATTATGAACTGCCACAATGACCATCACCCCACAATGACCATCACCCCACAATGACCATCTCCCCACAAGGACCATCACCCCACAATGACCATCTCCCCACACATCACCCCACAATGACCATCACCCCACAATGACCATCTCCCCACAAGGACCATCACCCCACAATGACCATCTCCCCACACATCAGTGGCGTAGCGAGGTGGGGTGTCACCCGGTGCGGCACTTAATGGTGTCACCCCCCCCCCCCCAGAGGCGTAGTGACCCTTCCCTTTCAAGTTTTCGATTTGCACCCCCCTCAAGTTTTCGATTTGCACCCCCCCCCCCCCTCTCAAACTTTCGATTTGCACCCCCCGTCAAGTTTTCGATTTGCACCCCCCCCCCTACATCAGTGGCGTAGCGAGGTCGGGTGTCACCCGGTGCGGCACTTAATGGTGTCACCCCCCCCCCCCCCAGAGGTGTAGCGACCCTTCCCTTTCAAACTTTCGATTTGCACCCCCCCCCCTCAAGTTTTTCTCTATATGTTTTGCTATTTTTTGCCTTGGTGTCACCCCCCTGAATGGTGTCACCCGGTGCGGTCCGCACCCCCGTCCCCCCCTCGCTACGCCCCTGCCACACATCACCCCACAATGACCATCTCCCCACAACCTCTTGTAGGTCCGCGACATCGGCGAGTCCATGTTTATCCACATGTTTGGCGCCTACTTTGGGTTGGCTGTGGCCCGCGTGCTCTACTCGTCAGACGTCGAGAAGTCGAGCAAGGAGGGCAGCGTCTACCACTCCGACATCTTCGCCATGATTGGTCAGATATTTTACGTTACTTTTTAAATTGTAAACTTAGTCGTTATGATTGGTCAGATATTTTACGTTACTTTTTAAATTGTAACCCTAGATTAAAAGAAGCGAACCCATCATTGAAGTCAAATGTGTGACGAGTTGAGACTTTGGTTTCAGGTACCGTCTTCCTGTGGATCTTCTGGCCCTCCTTCAACGGCGGGTTTGCAGACGACCAACAGCAGAAAGACCGTGCCTACCTCAACACCTTCTTCTCGCTGTGTGCCGCCACGGCCGTGACCTTCGCCATCTCCAGCCTAGTGGACAAGGAGGGCAAGTTCAACATGGTAGGTCAGTGGGTCAGTGGGTCAGTAGGTCAGTAAGTCACTGGGTCAGTGGGTAGATGGGTCAGTAGTTCAGCATGTTGTGGTCAGTGGGTTGGTCAGCCTAGTGGACATGGTGGGGCAAGCTTAATATGGTAGGTTAATGAGTTAGTAGGTCAGTGGGTCAGTAGGTCAGTGGGTCAGTTGGTAGGTAGGTCAGTAGGTCAGTAAGTGGTCAGGGGGCAGGTCAGCCTAGTGGACATGGTGGGGTAAGCTAAACATGGTAGGACTAGGTCGGTAGTTACGGTTAGTGTGTGGGTAAGAGGGTAGTTATTGATCACGTGAGCAATCTCTCACTAACACCATCCACAGGTTCACGTACAGAACTCCACCCTAGCCGGGGGCGTGGCCGTCGGGGCGTCAGCACAGATGCCCATGCACCCGTTCGGTGCCATGATCTTCGGCTCTGTGGCGGGGCTCATCAGCGTGCTGGGGTACAGGTACTTGACGGTAAGTCATAGATTTATGCTGGGGTACAGGTACTTGACGGTAAGTCATAGATTTATGCTGGGGTACAGGTACATGACGGTAAGTCATAGATTTATGCTGGGGTACAGGTACCTGACGGTAAGTCATAGATTTATGCTGGGGTACAGGTACTTGACGGTAAGTCATAGATTTATGCTGGGGTACAGGTACTTGACGGTAAGTCATAGATTTATGCTGGGGTACAGGTACTTGACGGTAAGTCATAGATTTATGTTGGGCTACAGGTACTTGACGGTAAGTCATAGATTTATGCTGGGGTACAGGTACTTGACGGTAAGTCATAGATTTATGCTGGGGTACAGGTACTTGACGGTAAGTCACAGATTTATGCTGGGGTACAGGTACTTGACGGTAAGTCATAGATTTATGCTGGGGTACAGGTACTTGACGGTAAGTCATAGATTTATGCTGGGGTACAGGTACTTGACGGTAAGTCATAGATTTATGCTGGGGTACAGGTACTTGACGGTAAGTCACAGATTTATGCTGGGGTACAGGTACTTGACGGTAAGTCATAGATTTATGCTGGGGTACAGGTACTTGACGGTAAGTCATAGATTTATGCTGGGGTACAGGTACTTGACGGTAAGTCATAGATTTATGCTGGGGTACAGGTACTTGACGGTAAGTCATAGATTTATGCTGGGGTACAGGTACTTGACGGTAAGTCACAGATTTATGCTGGGGTACAGGTACTTGACGGTAAGTCACAGATTTATGCTGGGGTATAGGTACTTGACGGTAAGTCATAGATTTATGCTGGGGTACAGGTACTTGACGGTAAGTCACAGATTTATGTACGGCTACAGGTAGAGGGTGTAGAGTGTTCGTGTTTTATTTGCGGGCTAGACAGGACCCAACAAATAAGAATTTATTTGCTTACCTGCTATGTTTCAGCCCCTGATGAGGAAGTACCTGAAGATCCATGACACCTGTGATTGATTTGTTTACCTGCTATGTTTCAGCCATTGATTTGTTTACCTGATATGTTTCAGCCCCTGATTTGTTTACCTGATATGTTTCAGCCCCTGATGAGGAAGTACCTGAAGATCCACGACACCTGTGGCGTCCACAATCTGCACGGCATGCCGGGATTTCTGGCCGCTGTTGGCGCTGCTGTGTTGGCCGCCATTTCCGGAAGTTGGTCTCAGCATGAGTAGGTCTTTTCTAGGTCTTTTCTGGGTCTTTTTCTGTAGGTCTTTTCTAGGTCTTTTCTGGGACTTTTTCTGTAGGTCTTTTCTAGGTCTTTTCTGGGACTTTTTCTGTAGGTCTTTTCTAGGTCTTTTCTAGGTCTTTTTCTGTAGGTCTTTTCTTCATAGGTCTTTCGTTTGTAGATATTTTGTTTGTAGGTCTTTTCTAAGTCTTTTTCTGTAGGCCTTTTCTTTGTATGTTTTGTTTGTAGGTCTTTTGTTGGTCTTTTTCTGTAGGTTTTTTCTGTATGTCTTTATTTTGTAGGCCTTTTGTTTTCTGTCATCACAAATTCACCAACACACATGAACACAAACACGCAGCAACGCATACTATCACACATAAAAACACACACCAACACACACACACACACAAACACACGTAGCAACACACTTAAGTCCACACAGATCAAACGTTGACACAACTCCTCCCCCCTCCCCTCCCCTCCCCAGCCGAGAGACCATCTTCCCCGAGACGATGCCAGACGGAGCGACAGACGACGCCCTGGGCCGGACCCCCGTGGAGCAGGGGGGGTACCAGATGTTGGCGGCCGTCATCACGCTGGGGTTCGCCATCGTTGGGGGCACCTTTACAGGTAAGTCTGAGATGGGGGGATGGGGGTGGGGGGTGACAGCACCATGGGAGCACCTTTACATGTAAGTCTGAGATGGGGGATGGGGTTGGTGGGAGAAGGGGGAGGGGGTCAAAGGCGAAAACTTTTAATTTTACAGGGAAAACTTTACTTTGTCTTGCTAAATTATTATTTGATGATAATTTAAGTAAATCATGCGAACATAGATTGTCATTATCCTACAGGTGGGGGCAGGAGGTGTGGGGCGAGACCCAAGCAAAAATTTATAATTTAAAACCGTTAAATACACCACTAAGCATTTCTTTAAATCCTCCACCAGAGAAGTGCGGGGGGGGGGGTACCTTACGCGGCTTATTTAGCACACTGGCTAGTGTGTCATGATCTAGTTTCCTATATTATCCCTGTAGGATTTATGCTGATATGACCTAGTTTCCTCTGCTATCCCTGTAGGATTTATCCTGACATGACCTAGTTTCCTCTACTATCCCTGCAGGATTTATCCTGAAGATCCCCATCTGGGATATGCCGAAGGACGAGGATATCTTTAACGACACTGACAATTGGGAGGTGCCGGAGGAAGGCTTTACAGCAGAGAAGTCGTCCAATCAGTACAAAGTTTCCAACTCGAACCACATCGAGATGACCATGCCAATGTAAAGTCTGCATTCATTGGTTGGTCTTTTCTGCTGCACCTGCATGCTATTATTTTAGGCAGCTTAATTTCCGATTATACATTTTTTTTACTATATTATGCTGCTTAATTTCCGGTAAAGTTCTTTGTTTTACTATATAAAGCAGCTTAACTTCCGATTACAATTTCCGGTTACATTTTTAAAATTTTACTATAACAGGCAGTTTAGTTTCCGGTTAAACTTTTTAATCTTACAACTTTATGCGTTTTTCACTGTTTTTTTTAAGGGTTAAATTTAGTCAAATTCTTAAATCTCAACACCGAATTTAAAACAAAATAAACCGGTAGTGATCTCCCCTAAACTTTCTCGAATATTCTTATATAAAACAACAGGGGATGGTAACTGGGGATATAGTTATGATTTTTAATCCATTTTAAATACTGAAACTTTTAAAAATAGAATAGAATCTCAGTAAAAAACAATTGCGCACCAAGCGAACGCCTAATAAAGGTGTGTATAATAGTGCGCAATATTATTAGTACTTTAAAAATTTACATTAGTTTTTTGAGAAATCGGAAGTAGCGTAAATTACTACTTCCGGTCAACGGAAATTACTCAAAATTTAACAGAAGGTAGAGAATTAGATCTTTTACTTACATGTGAAATTTCATTTATCTATCTGAAATAGTACTCAAGTTATAGGCTTTTGAAAAATTCAAAGTAGAAAAAGTACCACTTCCGGTTGTCGGAAATCGCTCAAAAGTTGATACGGATCTACGATTTTGATAAAATACTTATATATGAAATTTCATCAACCTAACTGTAACGGTACTCAAGTTATCGTGTTTACACACGGACAGACACACAGACACACACACACACAGACATACGGACAAGATTGCAAAATTATGTTTTTCCGTATCAGTGAGGTGTAAAACGTCGAGATTTGTAAAAATCTCGATTTTTTTTTTTGCACGATTACAATACTTTCTCTATACTACGTATATACGAGAAAGTAAAAATGGTTTAGATCTAATTATTTTATAAGTAGCCTACTGAGGTAAAAGTAATCAAAAAATTAGGTAAGGGGTGGAAGCAGGCGTTGTAACTGAAATAGCAATATAAACATAAAGTGATATTTCAACGCCAAGGGTACAGAATATAGTTTCGGTGCCGAGTGGAATGGTAGGTTCGGAACCCGTCGGGTCTGTCTGTTCTGTCTTTACTTGGACTATATTCTGTACCTTTGTCTACCCTTGGCGTTGAAATATCACTTTATGTTTATATTGCTATCAAAAAATTATGACCCGATAAAGAAATATATTAAGTCTGAATGAGTTAGAGATAACTTAAAGTATTAATTGATAACAATATTTTTGTATTTTAGGGGTAAAAATTACTTTTAAAAGAACCTGTATAATTGTTATTTATTTTTTTATTTTTTTATTTTTTGCAGGGAAGCGGAGAAGCTGCTTAGACCAGCATTTCAAGCGAAAGGTTAAGCAACTCATGTAAATAGACAAATGCTTCAAAACATCGTAGTTATGTACCCTTAGTCTCCTTGTGGGATGGATTCGAATGCAATCAAGCGATCCTGTTCAAAAACTGGGATAATATGTATAACTTTATATATATATATATATATATATATATATATATATATATATATATATATATATATATATATATATATATATATATATATATATATATATCGAATTGTAGCATTCGAAGAAAGGTGAACTGTTTGTAATTGTTTACTCTAAAATAAAAGTGACTTCTTGTAATAGTCACTAGCAAGAGTGGGAAATCCAAAAGTCTTGAAGAAGACATTTTGTAGGTGACCCAATTCTTGATTTTTTCTTTCATCTTTCCGTTTCTCCTCTTATGTTTTGTTTCCACTCCTTTAAAAGATAATGTGAACAATTGTACCGTCTTCATTAACATTGTCATTAACATTATCTCGTTCATCTAACAATTGGATCACTTCTTGTAACCCTGTATGAGCGCGGCGTGTACATGCGTGGTGTGGCAACTGGCGTGGCGATGTTTCTCCATTCAACATTTGAGCCAGTGATCAACCTACATTGTGTTTCTTTCAGATTTTTTTTTTCAAAAGAGGGGGTTCAGGGGATTTGAAACTTTCGGGGAGGGGGGGGGGGGCTAAATTTTCCGAGGAGTATGTGGGACGGGACACTGGTAAAAATTAGGCCTATATATTTTGTTTAAATTCTATTTAAATTCTAGGAGCCCTCCCCCCCCCCCCTTTCCCCCCGGAAGAGATGCCTAAAAGAAACACTGCGTATGTGTGTGTGAGCGTTTGCGTGAGAGAGATATATATAACTACACGACGGTTATGGTTTTGTTGATGTGCTAAAAAAATGATTCTCTCTGTAAATTTATTTGGCGTCAAATCGCTGCGGTACAGCGCGGCCTCGGGTGTATTACTGATGATGTAGTGTTAGCAGTGGCGTAGCCAGGAATTGGTCATGGGAGGGCTTATAACCCCCCCCCCCTAATCCCCCTTGCCTACGCCACTGAGTGTTAGGTAATGTACCCCTTACTGGGCGCTGGTGTGAGATATAACCCAATTCGTGTAACAGAACTGTATATAATTATATGCTCAATTATATATTGTATAATTATAATATATTCAGATATTTTAAAAAGATGTTAACGATTACTAATACATCATTACTATGCAACTCTTGTAGATTTAACTTGACTAATTATGGTGATTAATCACATTTTAATTTAATGTCCTTTAACCCAAAGTATTAGTGATATTTATGTTATAAATGTGTCAAACCTCATATTAATTTGTTATAAACATACTCATACTATTCAAAATGTCAAATTATTCCCCTTACCTACTGTTCATTTATCTGCGGGGAATCTTTTCAAACCATTTTATCAATTCATCGCCGATTGGTTGAGATTGTAGTTGTTTGAATATGAGAGCCAATGAAAGTAAGTTTTGAATGACAAGTCTCTTGTGGCTGGCTCTTTGTTTTAGTAAGTTATATTTCAAGACATACGATCAATAAAGGAAAATTATAACAAAGCTGGAAGTTTTTTGTTTGTTTTATCTTTTTTTTTAAATAATTGAGTTAGGGGAAACCCCCATTCATACTTCCATAAAGAACGATAGAGTATTTTGTACAGAGAAATACTAGCGCCTTGTTTTTCAAGCTACTGATCGGGTCGGCTAATTAGAACCAATCAGAATGGATGTAGTAATCTTTACAATTCTAGAACAAGTTTCTCATAAAATTTAAATATCGGCTAAATAGTTTGATCATAAATAAAAACTGATTACTTTAGGCTTGAACTTGAGTTTGTGAAGGGGAGCAACCAACGAAATACCGAACACAGAACAAGTCAGAAACAGAAGAATTGAGTTCTCTCCCCTATGTCATCACCCGCTAGACGAGTGGTTCCACCAGCTCTCGCTTTCTCTCCAGCTGTTTGGGACATTAGGAGCAGTTAGGTGTGTGTGGGTGGGGGAATGGGGGGGGGGGGGGGGGAGATACAGGGTACCAACTCGTGACTTTCGGTTGATCCAATTATCAAGTCAACTAAAATAATTTGAGGAACCAACTAAAATAATTTAATGACCCAAGTATCTGGTCAGCTAAAATAATCAGCTGTGAGAGTTTTTGTCACTGGAATCTCATAGCTTTACTGGAAATAAAGTGCTCTACATTAGATAGCACTTTATAAGTTGCTTTTTGTAGTCCAACATTATTTCAACTTATGCACAAGAAGCAAACATTTACTAACGAAAGAACAAGAAAACCAGCCGTGTGATAAGTTAGTTGTGTTTTAATGGAACATGTCTATACACATTTTGTATAGGACTCTAAAAACTGGACGACACTGACGGTAAGTTCAAAAATAAAATGAGAACAATTTAGGCAAGGGTTTACATCGGTGACCTCCACACACTTCTACACATGTGTACCACACACATATCTGTCATGTACACACTGGTCAGTCTGTCATGTACACACTGGTCAGTCTGTCATGTACACACTGGTCAGTCTGTCACAGTCTAGTCAGTTGGTCATCATGTCTAGTGCTAGTCAAACATACTTCCACATTCATCTGTCACAGTGTCCAGTAGTTGGCTGAGTTTCACACAGTTACACTGGTCATTCACTGGTCCAGTCAGATCACAAAACTTTAGCTCTGAGCTGTCTAGCTCCCCACACAGCTCCCACACTCAGTGGTTAATAAAGTTATTTTTAGCATTGACACACTTCCGTTCATCTAAAAATAGCACAACCATAATAGCCAAAGACAGGAAGTCTATGGGTTACAAAAATAATGTCTGGCACAGAGTGGCACTACAAGCTTTGACACAACCACACACTGACAACTGAAAATTGGTCAGTGGATGAGTTGGGTGGTCAGCATGTGGCCACACAACCACACACTGACAACTGGATGATGGTCAGTGGATGGGTTGGGTGGTCAGCATGTGGCCACACAACCACTTTCACAGGCCACACAGCTATTTGTAAGCTGGCCAGTTGATGGTCAATACATGGCGACATTACATATCACTGTGGTAGTTACAGTTAAAGCCACCATCACCCATATCAGTGAACCAAAACTCAAAAGTTGCCAGATGTTTACAGTTAACATCTCCCCCAAATGCTAACTTTTGTTGATGTTAACTGGCACAGACTCAGCTTCATGGGTTTGGGTTCAAACCTTTCAGTACAAACACTTATCCTACTTTTACTTCACAATTTTCTAAACCTGACATCTGGTGGTACCACCCCACACAACAAGACAACCAGACAGTGTGCAGTAGTAACCACAAACACATCCGATCAACTTATAATTTAACTTGGTACATTTCAACATAACATTCATTCCTCAGATTCTTTTCAAACATGGTTTTAATCCATTCATTGTGAATTATGTATGAATCCATTTATGATACAAAAGTGTAGTTCAATTCATGATGAATAATAATATATTATAAATCCATTTACGAAGTGTATCTCCATTAATAATGAAATATGTGACGATCCATTATCAAAACAATTAGTGTATTTTAATTCTTGATGAATAATGTAAAAATCCATGAACAAGGAAATACATGGCTCCACTAAAGATGAAATATGTGTACATATTTATAGAACAGTTTTTATAACATATGGCCAAGTCAAAGTGTAACCCAGGGACAACTAAAGGTAAACAGCAGACAAGATCTCAGTGTTTGTAAAATATACTTAAAAACATGGGGTTTTACAGTAACCCAACAATATTACTCTGTAAAAAAATTGTAACAGTGTAAAACTTTTAAAAAACCAGACAAAAATAATGAGACTGAAAAAAAAAATTTACACCCAAAAATTTGCTTTAGCACAACCACACAGCTGGTCACTGAGCCAACAAACTAATTACAACAAGGATTGGTCAATAAGTTAATGGAGGTCATAGCAAGCTATGGTCAATGCTTTTTTGGTAGGCTTTGTCTTGTGCTTGTATGCTGCCTGGATGGGTCAAGGTAGTGAGCAAAGCATGCGCTACAGTGTGGGATTATGATGTGTCACATGTGCTACAGTGTGGGAATATGATGTGTCACATGTGCTACAGTGTGGGATGATGATGTGTCACATGCGCTACAGTGTGGGATTATGATGTGTCGCATCAAATGGTCAGATCAAGGTATATATATCTGTGATTATGATGTGTCGCATGATCTACAGTGTGTGAAAATGATGTGTCACATGATCTAATATGATATGCATGAATTGAAAAAAACTTGAAATGTGAATCTAAGCTAGATGAAAATAACTCAAGTGTTGGCCAAATAATGGGAGACCATTTTTAAAATGAGATTTGTGCAAATGAGTTTCTTTGATTGTAAGCTGTGTATAAATCTCATGGACAAATAAAACAGTACACCAATAAAATAAAATGTGTAAAAAACATTGGGTAGATAAATCTGCTGTAGCTTTTGAAAGTTACACTAAAACACTCCAAACTTTGAGCGTAGTCCAGTCTGGGTACCCTGGGGAGGATGGACCAGCAGTTAAAAACACAAGAAGTATCTGGGTGTCTGGCTAGCTAGAGGACAAGAAGTATCTGGGTGTCTGGCTAGCTAGAGGACAAGAAGTATCTGGGTGTCTGGCTAGCTAGAGGACAAGAAGTATCTGGGTGTCTGGCTAGCTAGAGGACAAGAAGTATCTGGGTGTCTGGCTAGCTAGAGGACAAGAAGTATCTGGGTGTCTGGCTAGCTAGAGGACAAGAAGTATCTGGGTGTCTGGCTAGCTAGAGGACAAGAAGTATCTGGGTGTCTGGCTAGCTAGAGGACAAGAAGTATCTGGGTGTCTGGCTAGCTAGAGGACAAGAAGTATCTGGGTGTCTGGCTAGCTAGAGGACAAGAAGTATCTGGGTGTCTGGCTAGCTAGAGGACAAGAAGTATCTGGGTGTCTGGCTAGCTAGAGGAATGTGTGGACCAGCTATAACAAGCTAGTGCTGGCTGTAGCAATAGCTGAAATACGTCATGTGGAGGGGAGCAGGTACGCTGTGAAGCAAGGACAGGAGCCTACGTGGTAGTGGTAGCCTCCCCTTGTTTACCCAATCAACTGTGCTAATTATCTGTTTCATTCTTTCAGTCTGTCATGTAGTCTCCAGGCCGGGGTACTCTTATATAAAGGGGGTTGCTCAAAAAAAAATGTTTAGTAAACCTCTTACCCGATATTCACAAAATTGTATACAGATACAATCTAGCCATGATCTTCACAAACTTCTTGTAAAAAAAACATGACATGACAGAAGAGAGCACGTCACAAAATTGTCACCCAATTATCCAGAGATCTGAGTGTAGAAAATTTGATTGTTCCACAAGAATATATTTACATCAACTATTTACAGGGGTAACAGCGCACACAACTTTACACACACACACTCACGCAAGCATGAGTTACACACACACACTTGCAGTAGTTACACACACACTCTCACAGTAGTTACACAAACTCTCACAGTAGTTACACACACTCACGCAGTAGTTACACACACTCGCAGTAGTTACACACTTGCAGTAGTTACACACACACACACTCTTGCAGTAGTTACACAAACTGTTAGCTGTAATACAAAAGTTATCTCCTTGTCTAAACTTGGGGTTAGTTTTCTCTGAGATTCCATGAACTCTGAGAAATAATGAGATTACAGGTGATTCATTCAACATGAGATTTAACAAGATGAGATTGCTTGATGAGATAGTCATTCAATCAGATATTGAAATGATTGGATCATTTGGGTTACACTTCCACTCCTGTAATTTGACGCCTACCTAGAATTTATTATTGCTCACATTGTGATATTTATCTCCATAGCTCACAACTAAATCAAGAAAATGTACACAACCAAATTAGTTTTCATCAACCGGTGGGTGGAGCGTTGTTAGTGGAGGGTGATCAGCTGTCTCTCTGTGGGGGTGGCAGCTGTGTGGGGTGACTTTTGTCTGAAGGATTACAGCTCAAATAGAAAACTGGTGACCAGTGGGGTCTCACTGCTGACCACTACCTAGAGACTGGAATGCAGGTAGCTGCCAGAGAGAACAGGTTTAAAAAAACAGCTCAAAGATACACAAGTAGAAATTTTCTTGAGCTTTTAAATTCACGTTGTCCAGTTCAAAATATTTTAAGTACTTGTATGAATAAAATAACTTGTATACAGATAGTCTTTACAGTCAGCTGTGGCTAGCAGAGACGGATATGTACTGGAGTTATCCACAGAGTTAATCCACAGAAACTGGCCAGATTTGATTCACATCTGTCTTTCATATCCTGGTGTGCCAGTTGGGTTTGGAAACTCCCTTTTAAAATGTGGTATGTATTGTAATCAGACCCTTGACAGAGCCCAATTGTTTATAATCTATCCCGGTGATTCAGCCTATAAAAATCAGACGGAAGTTTCTGAGTTTAACCTGAGTACAAATTTGTTGGACTTGGGATGCATCATCTCCTCCGTGAGGCTGAAGTGTGGGATCTTTGTGACGGTACACAGCAGGGACACGGGCCCCTTCTTTAACTGGAACACCATCCTGTTGTCCAGCTCCCGCGTCAGCAGCTGCTCACACACCAGCACCCAGCGCTCCGTGCCCTTCACTTCCTGTTCGTTCCCGCACACGACGGCGCCCTGGGTGAGGTACTGCGAGACGAAGGCCCGAGGGCTCATGTCGTGGGAGATGCAGCAGGCCAGGTGGCTGAGCACGGCCTCCATGGTGTAGCGGGGCTGCTGGCGTGTCACACGCAGGTACTTCTGTAGGGCTCTGGCCAGGGACGGGAACACTGCGGCAGCTGCTTCAGTTGGGTCCATGGGGATGGCTGGGCCTGAGGACAACATGTAAGGAGAGATTGTTATAAGGAATGGTCAGTTGGGTCCATGGGGATGGCTGGGCCTGGGGATAACATGTAAGGAAATGTTTATAAGGAATGGTCAGTTGGGTCCATGGGGATGGCTGGGCCTGGGGATAACATGTAAGGAAATGTTTATAAGGAATGGTCAGTTGGGTCCATGGGGATGGCTGGGCCTGGGGATAACATGTAAGGAAATGTTTATAAGGAATGGTCAGTTGGGTCCATGGGGATAGCTGGGCCTGGGGACAACATGTAAGGAAATGTTTATAAGGAATGGTCAGTTGGGTCCATGGGGATAGCTGGGCCTGGGGACAACATGTAAGGAGAGATGTTTATAAGGAAGTCAGGCCTGGGGAAGGGGGTAAGGAAATATGAAGGTATAATTGGCCCTATGGAAAGGAAGTAAGAAAGCTTATAATGGCCAGCACTAACAGAGGAAAAAATATTTTTAAGGAACAGAGGTTTGATACATTAATAAAGATATGATAAGATATGATGACCATGTAGACAGAAAAAATATCTGTAAAAATCCAATATAAAACAAGTGTCAAACAAAGACTTGCCTTGCTCATCATGCAAGCGCTTGATGTGGGTGAAAGCCTCCTCTGTAGCCACAAGTAACCTGGCGCGACGCTTGCGCACCCTCCTCTCATACTCCTGCTCGTCATAGAACCGGTCGTTGTGGCCGGCCTCCCTGCGCCTGGATGCGGCAGGGAACACCGCCCGGTTTCTGCCCTGGTTCCCTGCTTGGTTCTGGGCGTTCCCGTCAATGTCGTAAACTTTGAAAGCCGTGCTGGAATGCTTGCTGTGTTTTTTGGTCACGTTCTCCAGGTAAGGATTGTAAGTCTGAAAAATTTGATACGCATTGTTTTAGAGAAAACTGTCACACAACTATTACACGATAATAAGGACAATAATTACACTAATTTTACTTAAACACAAAGCTATTTTAATTTAAATAGAGCCTACACAAGGGGCGTTTTAACTTTTTTAAATATGGAAGAAACTTAACTATTAGTCAAAAAAAGGAAAAAAACAACAAATAAAAGTTTACAAACATAAAAAAACTAAGATAATCTAAAGCTAAAAAAATCGTAATCTTGTGTGTAAAGGAATGAAAGATGTGACAAACATCAAAGTCCTTGTAGTACTGCTCCAGTATGTGGACAGCAGCCCGCTGTATACTGAGTAGTCCCACACTGTAGACCCTAGCCTCACCATCAGGTGACCTGACCACACGGATGGCAAACTGGGGCTGGAGGTGGCGGATCTCCAACAGGATGATGGCGATGTAGTGGACAAACAGGAGGCTGTCCACTAGACTCAGGGCAAACTGGACTATACCCTGGTGGCAAAACACTGCTCGTTAGTACCAACTTTAAACAAGTCATTCAATGAACACATTTTAAGATGAAAAAATAACTTTACAAAACTAGTGATATATTAGTAATTAAGGGTAAAATAAAATATCAATCAACAACTTAAATACATGATAGAAAGTGTTAAAAACAAGAAAAGGCTAGAGGTCTATAAGATAACATGTTGAACAAACTAAACACAGCCGTACAGAACAAGCCTATGGGACTCACCTCGTATGTTCCCTGTTTCTCCTTGAAGATGCGCACCCCGTAGAAGAGCCAGAAGGCAAATGTTAACACAAAGACCAGGAATAGAACTATGGCTCTGAACACAAACACACGGGGCATGGTGGCTCTTGGCTGGGGAGGAAATCAATACAGACATGACATTTAGGGACATGACATTTGTGGATAAAGAAATCAATAACAGTAGGGACATGACATTTAGGAATCAATACAGTAGGGACATGACATTTATGGATAAAGGTGAAGGGATGAAACAGTCACAAAATGACAGATGAAACCAACTGTACCACATCAAACTATCCTTACTTTATTTCATCTAGACTAATATGTCATGAAAAATTAGTGTTAAAAATGCAATATAAAGTAGGCTATAGAAATACCTAAGTAGGTAATTTAATCAAATATTTACCCAGAAAAAGGGTTTTACTACCAGAAATGTTGACGTGGGGTGTAGTACCATATCACATTATTGATAATATTTTAAGTTTTTACACTCATTCTATTAAACAAATTAAACAATACCTAAGCCATTATTGCTTCCCTACCTTTCTAAAGAAGAGAGCTATAGCCCCCACTAGAAGCACCAGGAGCTTGAAGGCAAAACTAATGAGTAGCCCCTCACACTCTGGCTTGCAGTCCCCAGAGGTCAACTGGACCACGTCCAGCTTGGGGAGCAGCAGCATGGCTATAGGTGACAGGAAGGCGATGACACTCAGGCCCACGGTCAAGGCTGTTCCCACGTACCTGGCGCAGTTGACACCCACCTGGGGATGAAAAGTTTCTCCTTACAACCTCTTCTCTTCCTTCACAAACCAAAACACATCTTTTAAAAATTTTGTTTTGTATTTGTTTTACTTATTTTAAATTTAAGGATTGTAAAAAAACTAATTGAGCTATGTTGTGGCAAGAATGTTGGATTATTGGAGTTTTTTCTGTAAGAAATTAGCTGTATTTTAAGAATTACAACAAAAATATTTTAAAATATAAATCATGTTGACAATTAACACGTGTGTTAATTGAGGACATGATATGTTTGAGACATCAACTGTCTTTACTGCCAGATCTCTGGCTGACCTACCTGTCTGTCTGTCTCCTTGACAACGAACTTGTTCAAGTCTTCCATAGAGAAGCCTGTCTCGCTGGTGTTGCCTGTTATTGCTGTGGTGTTGTCACCCCAGTTGTCATCTTGTGGGATCACCTAAACAAGAGTCAATAGCTGGGGTCAGGGATCTACTAACATTAGGGATCACCTAGAGTCAATAGATGGGGTCAGGGATCTACTTTAACTTACATTAGGGATCATCTAATTAAGGGACATCAGATTAACTAGATAAGAGTGAAAGTGGTAGAGGCCACCAAATCAACAGTAGGTAGTTAGTCTAACCCACCTATCAGTGAACCCTGTGAACCCACCTATTAATGAACCCACCTGCTTTTTAATTCTTTCCTCTCCACCTGTCAGTGAACCCTGTGAACCCACTAATCTATCACTGAACCCACCTGCACTTCAATCCTTTCCTCTCCACGCTCCATGTCAAGGTCTTGACCAGGTGTCTTGATGGTCACTGACCGGTCATCTCTATCAGGGTCAAGGCCCCTGGACATACCCCTGTTGCTGCCAGCTCTAGATGGAACCTATCACAGGTAAAATCATGCATCATTAGACGTGTGTGGTAAAGTGGGGCTTCAGTCCCTCACATTTTTGATACACAAAATAAACTAATTAAAAAAAAAACCACTGACCTGTGGTCTGTTATGGTGCCGATGACCTCCATTCCCATGATGGCTTCCATGGCTCCTGTGTGACCTCTCCGACCTCTCACTCCTGGCTGACCTCACACTCTCTCCTCCGTCCATCTAAAGGTCAGATTAAAATGACAGTTAACATGAGTATGGAGACTACAGCACAAGAACAACATGGGTAGACAGGATTCAATCCCATCTGCACAGATTTGCCAGTAACAAAACACATTTGTCTAATAACACACCGGTGTACAAGGATTTGAAATCCATTGTTACTAACAGAACAAGAACAGAATATAGTGGACGCTAATGAGAAGAACACGATAAAAAAAATATGGATTATTGTGTTTGCTGACAAAATTGTCTCCCTTGATGAAGTATCCAGAAAATCATTTTTATGGTTAAAAAAATTACTTGCGAATTCTAATTAATCATTATGGTAATCAATATTTTAAGAATGTACTGGGGATAAACAGGCAATCCTTTAATTTTATATTTATACAACACTCAGGATGTATGTTTTAATGAAATCTTCAATAAATTGTAAGTGTCCCTCTAATTAAATTTTTTAAAAATAATGAATCTATTTTAAAAGTTGAATGTGTGAATGATTTAAAAAGTTGAATGTGAATGATTTTTAAAGTTGAATGTGTGAATTATTTAAATAACAGTTGAATGTATGAATGAATGATTTAAAAAGCTGACCTTTGCTGTGGGGTTGTTTCAGGATGTTTCCTCCAACTGCTGCCAGAAATTGATGCCTGAGATCACAGGTCCTATTGGTCAGCTCCCACAGGTCCTATTGGTCAGCTCCCACAGGTCCTATTGGTCAGCTCCAACCTGATGACATCAAGGGTGGCTAGACCTGGAACAGAGAAAATACAACTGTAACTGCTGCGGACAGTAGGTAGGACATCAAACTGTAGGACACAAGACTAGGTGAGACTGTAGGACATGAGGCTAGGTAGGACATGAGACTAGGACATGAGACTAGGTAGGACATAAGACTAGGTAGGACATAAGACTAGGTAGGACATGAGGCTAGGTAAGACATGAGGCTAGGTAGGACATGAGGCTAGGTAGGACATGAGGCTAGGTAGGACATGAGACTAGGGCATGGGGCTAGGTAGGACATGAGGCTAGGTAGGACATGAGGCTAGGTAGGACATGAGGCTAGGGCATGGGGCTAGGTAGGACATGAGGCTAGGTAGGACATGAGACTAGGTAGGACATGAGGCTAGGTAGGACTTGAGACTAGGTAGGACATGACGCTAGGTAGGACTTGATGCTAGGTAGGACATGAGACTAGGTAGGACATGAGGCTAGGTAGGACATGAGGCTAGGTAGGACATGAGACTAGGTAAGACATGAGACTAGGTAGGACATGAGGCTAGGTAGGACATGAGGCTAGGTAGGACATGAGGCTAGGTAGGACATGAGGCTAGGGCATGGGGCTAGGTAGGACATGAGGCTAGGTAGGACATGAGACTAGGTAGGACATGAGGCTAGGTAGGACATGATGCTAGGTAGGACATGAGACTAGGTAGGACATGAGGCTAGGTAGGACATGAGACTAGGTAGGACATGAGACTAGGTAGGACATGAGGCTAGGTAGGACATGAGGCTAGGTAGGACATGAGGCTAGGTAGGACTTGATGCTAGGTAGGACATGAGACTAGGTAGGACATTAGGCTAGGTAGGACATGAGGCTAGGTAGGACATGAGACTAGGTAGGACATGAGACTAGGTAGGACATGAGACTAGGTAGGACATGAGACTAGGTAGGACATGAGGCTAGGTAGGACATGAGGCTAGGTAGGACATGAGACTAGGTAGGACATGAGACTAGGTAGGACATGAGGCTAGGTAGGACATGAGGCTAGGGCATGGGGCTAGGTAGGACATGAGGCTAGGGCATGGGGCTAGGTAGGACATGAGACTAGGTAGGATATGAGGCTAGGTAGGACATGAGGCTAGGGCATGAGGCTAGGTAGGACATGAGGCTAGGGCATGGGGCTAGGTAGGACATGAGACTAGGTAGGACATGAGGCTAGGTAGGACATGAGGCTAGGTAGGACATGAGACTAGGTAGGACATGAGACTAGGTAGGACATGAGGCTAGGTAGGACATGAGACTAGGTAGGACATGAGGCTAGGGCATGGGGCTAGGTAGGACATGAGGCTAGGACATGAGACTAGGTAGGACATGAGGCTAGGTAGGACATGAGGCTAGGTAGGACATGAGGCTAGGGCATGGGGCTAGGTAGGACATGAGACTAGGTAGGACATGAGACTAGGTAGGACATGAGGCTAGGTAGGACATGAGACTAGGTAGGACATGAGACTAGGTAGGACATGAGACTAGGTAGGACATGAGGCTAGGGCATGGGGCTAGGTAGGACATGAGGCTAGGGCATGGGGCTAGGTAGGACATGAGACTAGGTAGGACATGAGGCTAGGTAGGACATGAGGCTAGGGCATGAGGCTAGGTAGGACATGAGGCTAGGGCATGGGGCTAGGCAGGACATGAGACTAGGTAGGACATAAGGCTATAGGTAGAGGACATCAGACTAAGTCTGAGAGTAATAGATACAATACAATACCATATGAATACCTTGCAAAATTGTATACATAATTCAAACTTTTATAGTAGTTTATAAGTGTAGTGCGTTTATGTTGTGTACAAGCTTGTTTATATAATTTGATCTATGTGCATGGAAACATATGTATGGCCCTGAATATGTAAACTTGTCTTCTAGGTGAACCAAGTTACTTCACACACCAAAATTTTTCCTGTCATACAGGAATTTTCAAAGCCATTTCAACCAGCTTTTAAACAACTGAAACCATTATAGATTTTAAAGTTGTAAACAAAGCTGGAAGTTCAAGAACTAAGAGATTGGTGCTGCCAGTGTTTAACATTTTTCCAGTTTATTTTAGACTGCTGTGCCTATAGCCCAGCATATGAATATGAAATATTATGAGTCATATTCCAACAGGAGAGTGGAACACACAAGGGGAGGTAACACACAAGGGGAGGGAACACAGGAGGAAATGAAAGTACAAAATAATGATCTGCTTGCCTGACAGGGAACAAATGAATGAAAAGGTTTCAAAACTCAGCCATTTAACCCATTCAAGAAATGTGCTAATACATTCTATGCACTGGTGCTTGTCCTACATGTAGTTGGCAGCAGACAGAGCTATACCTGATAGTTGGCAATACATGAGTGTTGGGGGACAGGGTAGGAATATTAGGTTGGTGGATGTCAGGATAGGTTGGTAGGTGGGTTGGTTGGTAGGTTGGTTATGCAGGTGGATTGGTTGGTTGTGTGGGTTGGTTGGTGGGTTGGTTGGTTGTGTAGGTAGGTTGGTTGGTTTGTTGGTTGTGTAGGTTGGTTGGTTTGTTGGTGGTTTGGTTGGTGGGTGTCAGTTGGTTGTGTAGGTTGGTTGGTTTGTTGGTGGTTTGGTTGTATATGTTTGTTGGTGGGTGTCTGTTGGTTGGTTGTGTAGGTTGGAAGTTTTATGGTTATCAAATGTTCATGGTTTGACCTAGAACAAATGGGTACCCACATGATGTAGCCTGTCTATCTACAGCTGCCCATTGTGGGTAAAAAAATAAAATATTTAGAATAAATAATCATAGAGATAACTACAGTTAAAACATGTGTCAATATATTTGATTATTGTCTTGAAACTTTGGCTGAATATGTGTCATACAATGTTCAATGTATTTCACACTTGTAACGCCAGAACTAGAGAGACCTCCACCATGACACAAAACTCTACCAGGTAACACCAGAACTAGTGAGACCACCACCATGACACAAAACTCTACCAGGTAACACCAGGTAAGTGTCACACCAACACCTCAAGGAGTGTCAGCCATTAAGTGTCCCCAGTCTTAAGGCCAGCATAGAATCTTCTTCAGGCCTGATCTATAGGTACACCTGTAACCTTTTGACCTCCATTGGGCCCAGGTAAATACATTATAAAAAACCAAGTACCATAAAAACTGTTTTTATTACCCCCCATGGGAGTGTTGGTAATTTGAAGTTTTGATATCAAGAGAGTTTTTGTCTGTAGTGTTGGACTTAAGGACTGATACAGCCAGTACTAGGTCATCATGAAAGGTCTGTTGGACTAAAGGACTGATACAGCTTGTACTAGGTCATCATGAAAGGTCTGTTGGACTAAAGGACTGATACAGCCTGTACTAGGTCTTGTCTGTTGGACTAAAGGACTGATACAGCTAGTACTAGGTCTTGTCTGTTGGACTAAAGGACTGATACAGCTAGTACTAGGTCTTGTCTGTTGGACTAAAGGACTGATACAGCCAGTACTAGGTCTTGTCTGTTGGACTAAAGGACTGATACAGCTAGTACTAGGTCTTGTCTGTTGGACTAAAGGACTGATACAGCTAGTACTAGGTCTTGTCTGTTGGACTAAAGGACTGATACAGCTAGTACTAGGTCTTGTCTGTTGGACTAAAGGACTGATACAGCCTGTACTAGGTCTTGTCTGTTGGACTAAAGGACTGATACAGCTAGTACTAGGTCTTGTCTGTTGGACTAAAGGACTGATACAGCTAGTACTAGGTCTTGTCTGTTGGACTAAAGGACTGATACAGCTAGTACTAGGTCTTGTCTGTTGGACTAAAGGACTGATACAGCTAGTACTAGGTCTTGTCTGTTGGACTAAAGGACTGATACAGCTAGTACTAGGTCTTGTCTGTTGGACTAAAGGACTGATACAGCTAGTACTAGGTCATCATGTCTGTTGGACTAAAGGACTGATACAGCTAGTACTAGGTCATCATGTCTGTTGGACTAAAGGACTGATACAGCTAGTACTAGGTCATCATGTCTGTTGGACTAAAGGACTGATACAGCTAGTACTAGGTCTTGTCTGTTGGACTAAAGGACTGATACAGCTAGTACTAGGTCTTGTCTGTTGGACTAAAGGACTGATACAGCTAGTACTAGGTCTTGTCTGTTGGACTAAAGGACTGATACAGCCAGTACTAGGTCTTGTCTGTTGGACTAAAGGACTGATACACAGCTAGTACTAGGTTATCATGAAAGGTCTTGTCTGTTGGACATGAGAACAAGTACAGCTAAAAGTTATCTACCCCCGTCTATATAGAATTGCTCTAACTGTATTATTTACTATGTCTAATCTACATAAAATGCTTCAACACTTGAGACAAATTGAACCAATCAGAACAGTGTGTCTAGTGTTTAAACAAGGAGATGTGCCCTGATTGGCTAAAAGCAGAATGAAATGTTGTTGACTGTACTCTGCTTTAACACTGTCAATCCCCCCCCCCTCGCCTTCCATCAATATTTTTCCCACCAATTCAGCCCTACCCACCCCCACCCCCCAACCATAGTAACAGTTTTAAACATAATGTTTCTTGTCCAATCTAGTTAAACATCCTCTTTCAAAGGGGTCTAGGCTTAGATTTAAGGTGCACCCATAAAAATAGACATTAAGATTAGATTAGGATTATCATGCTATTAGTGTAGTTGTATCCTGTCTTAAGCTGATATGGGTTAGGTAAAGATGGATGGGCACAGTGCTGACCAAACAAAAGTAAAATTCTATCATGGCTAAATGTAAACTGTTTAAGATAAATAAACACTAGCACTAGAGACTGAATAAATTTTCAATAAGGCAAGTAGGGACTAGAGAAGATTAAATATTTGAAGATGAAATGTGTTACAGATACAGGAACAACAAGCTGCTGGTGTAGTTGGCCAGGGGTCAGTAGAGTGGACAAAGCAGGGTGGCAGGCTGACATAAATCAGAGGACAATAGAGGACAGGTGGAAGCCCCAACAGCAGGTGTGTTGGTCAGGTGAGG